TATCCATGGAGAACCCGATTTCTTGTAGGAGATTCCTCAGCCATACTAATTCACATGTAGTGTGTGTCATGGCTCTGTATTCGGCTTCAGCATTGCTCCTTGCCACAACCATCTGCTTCTTACTCTTCCATGCCACAAAATTTCCTCCAAGAAATGTGCAGTAACCTGTAGTAGATCTTCTATAAGACATAAAGCCTGCCCAATCTGCATCTGTATACCCAATTGCCTCAAGTCTTCCTCTTGGTTTGTACAATAACCCACGGCCTAGAGCTCCCTTCAAGTACCTTACAATTCTAAGAACTGCATCCCAGTGAGGTATCTGAGGGTTTTGCATAAATTGGCTCACCACACTGACTGCAAAGGAGATGTCTGGTCTCGTGATAGTCAAATAGTTTATCTTCCCCACTAACCGTCTATACCTTCCAGGATCATCAAATATTTCCCCTGTATCGCTGCTCAACATAGCATTTGGCTCCATGGGAGTTTCTGTCGGTTTTGCACCTAACAGTCTTGTTTCATCCAGCAGATCAAGAACATATTTTATTTGGCACAGGTTTACACCTTGTTTTGATCTAGCAACTTCTATACCCAAAAATACTTCAATGTCCCAAGGTCTTTTGTTTGAAAATGGTTTTGCAGAAAGACCTTTAGTTTATCGATCCCCAATTTGTCACTATCAGTTATGATAATATCATCCACATAGACCACTAATAAAATCTTTATGGCTTTTGAATCATAACTGAACACCGAGTGGTCAACCTGGCATTGTTTCATTCCAAAATTCTTCACCACTTCACTAAACATCCCAAACCAAGCACAAGGCGATTGTTTCAACCCATAAATTGCCTTTTTCAATCTGCACTCCTTACCATCCTCCCCCCTGAGCAACAAACCCATGTGGTTGTTCCATATATACCTCCACCATAAGGTCACAATGAAGGAAGGCATTTTTAATGTCAAGTTGAAACAAGGGACAATCATACATAACTGCTAGGGAAATTAAAACACAGACAGAGCCAATCTTAGCCACTGGCGAGAAGGTCTCCATATAATCCACCCCATACAGTTGTGCATAACCTTTAGCAACAAGTCTGGCCTTCAGACGCTCCACACTACCATCCGGCAAGTATTTAACAGTATACACCCATTTACAATCCACAACATGCTTACCAGGAGGAAGAGTAGAGAGCTCCCACGTTTGAGTATGCTGAAGGGCAAAGAGTTCCTCCTTCATTGCCTGCCGCCACCCAGGTGAGCTAAGAGTCTCTTGGACATTCTTAGGTATAGAAATAGATGACAACAGTGAAACAAACTAACGATGTGAAGCGGAAAGGCGAGAGACTGAAACAAAATTGGAAATGGGATGGAGGGTACAACTACGTTTACCTTTCCGTAAAGCAATGGAAAGATCAAGTCCTGAAGGTTCTGGGACAGAAGCAACAACATGATCCGCGGACAAGGTAGAAGCTGGAGGAGGAGCCGATGTCTGTCGATGAGTATACACGTGCTGGATCGGTGGTCGTTAAGTAGGGATCTGCACTGGAGGAGGTGAAGGGTCAACCCCAACTGGAACAACCGGAATGGTATCACGGACTAGAAGAGGAAGATGAAGCAAAGGTGGAGACACCGATGCTTCAGGTCCCGAGAAGAAGGGGACAGAATCAGAAAATGTGACATCAGGATAGACATAGCACTTCCGAGTAATGGGATTGCAACACTTATACCCTTTTTGAGTCCGAGAGTAGCCAAGAAAGGCACACTTAATAGAACGTGCATCCAGCTTGTTTATCCCAAGACTCAAATTGTGAACAAAGTACACACAACCAAAGATGTGAGGTGTTAATGGAAAGGGAGACAAAGTGGGGAATAAAATAGAAAAGGGAGACCGACCATGAAGAATGCAGGAGGGCACCCGATTAATAAGGAAACATGTAGTAAGTACAACATCACTCCAAAATCGTTTAGGAACACTCATATGATGAAGAATAAACCGAGCAGTTTCAAGGAGATGACGGTTCTTTCGTTCAGCCACCCCATTTTGTTGAAGAGTGAATGCACATGAAGTTTGATGAATGATGCCATGCTGTTCTAAATACCGTTGAAAGAAAGTAAGAAAGTATTCACGACCGTTATCTGAACGAAGAACTTTGATTGGAACACCAAATTGTATACGTATTTCAGCATGGAATTTTTGAAAAATGGAAAATAATTCACTCCTTTCTTTCATTAAATAAATCCATGTCATCATTGAACAATCATCAATAAAAGTGACAAAACACTTATAACCATTATAAGACTCTATTTTAATCGGACCCCAAACATCTTAATGAACTAAAGAAAAATGACTCAACATACGACTATCAACTCTAGGACTGAAGGGAACCCGACGATGTTTCCCATACTAACACGACTCAAACTGTAAAGACAACAAATGACTCAAGGACGGAACCAGTATCTTGAGTGCCTTGAGAGATGGATGTCCTAGTCGACAATGCTACTGTAGAGGAGTGAGTGAAGTCTGAAGTGCAACTGACGATCCACCACCGTCAAGGTAATACAATCCACCAGCCTCATGCCCCCCACCAATCTTCTTCCCCGTCTTGAGATCCTGAAAAACACAAAAGAAAGGGAAAAATGTAA